TACATTTCGCCGTAATGAGACCTCTTGCGAAGTGTATACTGTAAACGAAGCTCATGCTGCTGCACAGTTTGAAGGAATTCACAGGTCTCCACAGTAGTCACCGGCAGTGACCGAAAGGAACTAAAGATATACCCCCTCAAGCCGAACTGCGCAGTTTTCCTATCTTGGTTTTGTTTAATAAGGGCCATTCTGTGACGCAGAGACTCCATTTGTCATCACTGCGGCAGAGTAAGTAACCATCTCAATTGTTTGGAAGGCGTCAAGTACTGAAGCAGGTCCTCTAATCGGTGTGTGTTCTGTAGGACTTGTTGCCTTTACTGACGATGTCCGAACCGGTCATTTTGAATCAGACCACGTACGCTGGGGAATCCCCAGCGCGAGGGGTGGGGGCGAGGAAGGAGGTATTTGGTCCGAGAAATTTTTTTGCGGTAGTTGATCTTCTTTGTTTCACGGACGGTATAAGGGGAGTTTGCTCGTTGTTGGGAGAAGGAGTCGTATTTGCCCCGAAGAGAAATTTGCTGCGTTGGGAAAAAACTTCCCGTTGTTGAATTTCCGTGGTTTTTCTTGTTTCCTGTTTCACATGTGCATATCCCCACCCCACTCGCTCGACAGCTAAATTCTAGGGAAAAATTGAAAACTTTTGAGAAAATCCCGAAAAAGTGGTAGGAAGTTGCCAAAATCGGAAAAATGGTAGGGGTGTTAGCATGGGTGGGGAAGGGGGCGGGCGTGTCAGATGAGGGAGTTAGGGAGGTCGTATTCACCGAAAATTTTCCCCAGCGCTAGGAAGTGCTCTGTTTCTAATGCTGGTCCAAAACTCAGTTGGCTGGCTGGGAAGAGCAATGTTGTTAGCCAAGAAATGGAAGTGGGAAACACGTGGAATATTGAACAGTGGGAAAATGTGGGAAAGTATTCCCAATACAATTCAGTCACGATCAGTCGAGAGTCTTCGAGAAGGAGCCTAATCTAGTGTGCAACCGAGCATTCCATCAGAAAGCAACGAAAGGCTATTTTAATGCAAATTGTTCGATTTGAATGGAAGCACTGTTGCAATACTCTCGAGGAACGGCAGCCCTATTCGACTTCCGAATTCTATGTCCTCTTGGATTGCAGCAGACCTATGCCGCCCAGACCCATGGTTCGCCCTGGCCCTTGTTGAGATCAGCCGCAGCGTTTTTGGAAGATACGTAAAGTTTGCTCCTCTAGGTAATATGTAAACTCACTAATCCTATAAGCGCCCTATCCAAAAACTGACTTATGAAGGCTAAGTTGAATACCTTTTGGCGCTAAGATAGCAGCCGCGCCAGTTTAATCCCTGAGATCGAGTGTGGTCGGCAATGTTTCAACTTACTCACGCTTGCTGATGCGAATATTTTCAATCTCGACAACAATTGTGGGTCTTGTTTCTCCATGCTTCAGCATGAGACTAGATCCAGTTGTCCCAGGCTGGATATTCCACCATAACCGCATTCGCGTACACTGTCCGAATGCCGGCCTACACGATCTCAGGGATTCCCGATATTAGCGCCGAAGGGATGACGGGGGTGTGGAAGCGGGAAGGAACCAGGCCACTCCCTATCTGCTCACATGCGCCCTCTTTGAGAGATACTGTTTGCTGGGGTTCGTTAACGCTGGTTAGGGCATAAACAAACAAAAACCGATTGATTTTTAGACTAATGGGCGCTAAGGTAAGTGGGCAGGAGTTATCGGCGACAATAGAGCACACACATGCTCTGCTTGTCTGCATCCCAACACTATCTCTTTGTGAGGGTGGAGGCGACAGCGGAATGGGAGCGGTCTGGTTTCGCTCTAAGCTGGTCTACCAACTACCTGACCATCAAGTAATCTTCGACATATGAATTTTTCGATTCCATTTTCACTTCCTCTTCAATTCCTTCATTCTTCAGATTCATTCTTTGAAAATCAGAATCCTAAAGGTATTGGTTCAGGTATGAAACTAGGCTGTAATGTCTCCCATGACTTTACTTTCGACTGGCAAAATCGTCGGACTCTAGCATGTTGGAGCAGCGCTCCGAAATGCCAAAAGCGAAGAACTGCTCCATGGGACATTGGCTTTGGACAAGGCGTGGGTCTGTTTTTAGTTACCGCTATCGCAAGACTAGCTTCAAGCTTTGCTCATCTAGAATGAATCCAGGCCATGTGTCCCTGGAAGAACGGGCCCCGGAGAAAAAGGAAGCTTTTGATGGCTTTGGAATTCTGGAAGTTGTCACATATGACCCAATACCGAAGGAAGGCAGGGAGACGTCATGCTGATTGACCGATTTTTTTCATCACTTAATGTACAGGGCCTAGGGTCTCAATCAGGGATAGTGCAGGCGTCAAAGATGCACCTAATGCTCCTAGTTGGGGCAATGAGCAAGTTTTACAAGCAGAATTTTCAGTGAAAACTGCTTAAGATTTCGGAATGGCAGTTTTGGTCTGGCGCAGTAAAAACTTCAACAACCTCGCAATTCTTCTTGCACTGGTCCGCTATTGATTTTCATGCAATAAACGGGAAGACTTGTGCAAAAAGAGCAGAGAAAATGACAGGGCTGTCACGTCATGTAGCATTAATGGCATCGACATGCACCATGCCGCTGCAAGTAGTTTATTGGTATGGGGAGAGCCCAGTGCAGAAATGGCCTCTCCTGCAGAACATGTAGGGCCAACTGGACTTGCACTGATCCAGAGTCTTTCTGGTATGAGGCAGCACAGTATGTATTTATTCAGGGTTGCTGGAATAATCGCTGGCAACGTTTGCCCCTAACAACCCCATTTTCCACGAGTTACACTCCGTTTCCTGTAGTTGGGATGGGCGTGACTGCGCACTTTATCTAAATGTAGCGGCGGCTGCGATGTCGGTGAGATATTGCCGTTTGGGGGTTACTGTAATCATGACTTTGTCCAGCACAAGACAGCATGACAGTTATTTTGAATGGAAAGATCTCACGCAAAAAGTTCCCAAGCCATGCTCTAATGGAGCAGGTAGTCACGCCCTCTCCATCTCTGTGATATGGGGTGTAGACATTTTTGCGGTTCACCGCGAGCGCTTTTAGAGTGAGTCCAGGTACACTCGTGCCAAGTAAGTGAATTCGTTTCAAGAGGTCAAGTTATAACAGGAATTCCTGGCTGAGTTCACCCTCAGGCAAATTCCAAGGGAAATCGGGCCCAATTTTGGAAAAGTCGGACATTTAAGGGAGGACGCTGCCCGTTTGCTAGCTTCGCTGCAGATTCAGAATTGTTATCGTATTCTAGGAGATGCCAAAGCTGAGCGTGATCACTGTAGCACAGACTTCGACGTGAGCAGCAGGGCTGTGCAGTAGGTTCTCTCCATTACCTTCTCAGTAATTCAGGAATCCCCAGCCGCCAAATGAATAGAGTTTCGCCGTTCCCGCATGAAGAGCCTCCGTCAACACCTGAGTGTCATGGAGTGCAAATATCCGTTTTACGTGGGCTAAATAGAGCCTGTCGTGTCAGGGTTCTTTACGATCTTCACGCTGCTGGCGTTGAAATAGCAATTCTTCTTCAGCGAATCCAGTCAATCGGGTTTGGTGACTTTTTGAACGCGCTCAAAAACATCACAGTTGCAGGCGTAAGTGGATCCATTTGCACGTTCGTCTTCAATTTGCCGAGTGAACTTACTGATACCCGCAGTATTGTAGTCGGATACTGTGACAGCTAGATTCAATTGGTTTACTAAGCGCTTGGTCGTGGTGTTCGGGATTACCAGTGCCAGATCAAGCATTAAAGTACAGACGTGGGCCTGAAGATCGCGATGCCGCACTTTTCATTCTGATGCCATTCACAGATGGTCCTGGGCGTAGGTAGTTCCCCAAGGGGCGTAGGTAGTTCTGTTGAAATACAGAAGAGAAGTTGTCAAGTGGCTCTTCTGTGAAGATAAGATGCTAAAGAAAGCGTTGGCAGCGCCTTTGGTAAGACACCTTCAGGCCCCAATTATTCGTACAGGTGAAGCGACAAAAGAGCGGTGACCCTACGAACCCACAAGAGGCAATGGAGCATCCATTTCATGCTACTTGTCCGGTAGCATCGCTTTTGGCTGGAAGGCACTTTGAAGGCGGAGTCTGGAGGCGGAGTCACTGGAAAAAGGAGTTGCCACTGAAGAAACTTTGCGCTGTGGACCACACTCCGTTGCGGACCACACTACCCTTCCCACATAATCTTTGGCATGTTTATTGGTGATTGCGGACCGTTCCTATAATTAAACCCTGTTCCGTCTCCTAACAAAAATAAGTAGATCTGAATTTCATCAGCAAACGGGGCTACACTTTTTCCATGCCAAAAAACTTGAAAGATCCGGAAGATCTTTAAGGCTTTCCATCATCCGAACTCATCATGGGTTTCTAGGCACTTTGTAACTTAGAAGGGTGGAGTAGAATAGGTCCAAGTGCAACTTTCTTCCAATCTTGGCATGATAAATATCCTTCTCGTATTTCTCCAAGCCTGTACAAGATTCTTGTACAGGCGTGAAGAAATACGAGAAGAGAATAGAACTTTTGACGAGCTGCTCCATAGGAGTCAACCAAGTTCACGATCTGACA